TGTAGGTTTGTCACCTATCTTGACAATAGTAAAATGTTTCTTGGCCCAAAAATTAAATTGATGATCGTATTTTGTTTCATTAAATAGTACACCTAATATTTTATTGTATGTTTCAGTTATTATTAAAAAACGAATAATAATAAGATTTGTTTTAGAATAATTGTTAGAAGATATTTTATTTTCAATATTTAAAGCATCATCTTTTTCTCAACTAAACAAATTTTTCTTATTTCTTTTATTGGAGAAACATTCTGATGAATTTTGAGAACGTTGTAAATGTGGGTGTGAGTGATTAGATGCGATCAAAGAGAATTTTCTTCACCCATATTCAACATAATTTTTTCAATGTTCATAAAAAACTTACATTTTTAAAAATGAAATACAATTGATGTATTTTAATAAAAAGACTCTTTTTGTTATTAAATAAAGTACTTGAGGGTGTGAGCATAGGTTGGGATTGGATACAGAGAACAGCTTTATCTACATCCTACGCCCTCATTTTTCAAAAGAAGATCAGTTCGATCAAAGAGGAAAATACAAAGCCTTATAAGTATGGACGCACTGGTAATGAAGCCACTTGAAGACAGTGCATGAGATAGTTAATTGTACGATGTTTCTTAGTAAGCGAATCAGAAAGAGAAGGAAAAGGTGAAACAAATGCTAGTGATGTGCGTTTGTATGTAGTACTCGAGAAAGAAACAACAAGACCATTACTGTTCATACTGGGAATATCTATAAATCATGACTGCATCAGATTCAAAGCCTCTTCTCCTATTCTAATACCATGCTCTGTCTTGACTAGGCAGGATAGATCAGGACAGATTACTTGTACCCTGAAGGGCTCTATTTATGTCTCACAAGTTAGTTCTGTCTATTAATCAACTTGAGTTTTTTCCGTTATTCTAGTTTCCATGTTAATTTAAGAAATCTACGGTAATTATTTGGATTGCAACTGAATATGTCAAGCGATACGCTGTTTTTCTTTTTCCGAAAAAAATAACAATTGTTCTTCTATTGAAGCAATCATTGACAAGAAAATTAGTTAACTACTATTTACTTATTTATTTACAGCCACATTAGAGAAAATAACGTAGCAGCAAAATCAGAAACACAAAAAACGAAGAAAAAATGAATTTATATGAAGAATAGTTTGATCTGCAACGATATTCGACTTTCATATTATGTATTCTGCTGTTGTTGATATATGTACTGACCTTGACTTGATGGATTGATGTTTGCTGTTGATGAATAGATCAAATTTCGGCAAGTGTCAGACATCGTTTGAAAGTATTGAAACCAGCTATACGAACATAGTTCTGTGCTTCTAATAAGTTGTTGTTAAGGTTATGAAGTAATGCAATGTTAATCAAAGAAAAATTTTGCTCGAACTCACCGTAAAATAGATAGCATCGACTGAGTTTTGAATTATATTGTTCATCGACCCACATTCGATAATTAGATTGTGCATGGACTTTGGCCAGAACAATATGAATCCATCGATGGGCGAGCAATATGCTTAGGATATTGAAGTTAAAATTTCCAATTCGTATATTTAATGCACATTGACAAGGTAAGAAGAGCCAGAAGGAGAAAGAATGAGATGCGTAAAAGAGCGATAAAGGATAATAATGCGCAAAGATATGTTCATAATTAGATGAATGTCTTGAAACAATGCAAGGTAAAAGTTAGCATTCATCTAATCGAAGATTGATAGGAAATAATGATTGATCACTATTAAAGCATTGGCTTGTGTTTACAATCGGTAATGTAACCACAGCGTGTGACATAATATGGTTGTCATAAGCGTTTCAACAATCGAGAAAACCATCGATTGAGAAAATCTTCGTCATCCATAATGAAAGAACTCCAACGACTATAAACATAGGACATTCGAAAAAGATCTGACGGTTAATGAATGTATCAAAGAATGTTATGTAATAACTCGCATGGTAATCGGTCCATTCTGTTTGTTGTTGTTCGTTTTGTGAAATAAAATGCAGTGGAATCAAGTATCATATAAATATATCATCTGTCATTGCTAATATTATACAGACATCAGGCGTGTATTATTCTCTCCGTCAGCTACTAAATAATGAACGTCAGCATATCAAGAAACACGCATATGGAGACCAATAGAGATGTGGTTCTAGTTAGAATAGTTCAAATTTTTTCATAATGTCTGACATAAAATTGATTCTCTTTCGTCGGCTATTTGACTGAAAATCAACTATAGATTTGTACGATTCTGTGAAGCTGTTTTTCTAATAACACCGATGTACTTAACTTTTGTATATCTCTTATAATGCTCGTTGTTGTATCGAAAAGTTTATGAGCGCAATTCCTATTAGGTTAAAATGCGAAGGTTATACATTTACTAAAGCCATACGAAGAAAAGGTGTGGTTATGGATTTGAAGTATGAATGTAAATCTTCACTGCTGCAGCCATCCCTATCCACATCTCATAGTCACACCCACACTCTCAGGTTTTCTTTCTTACTCTACGTTGGTTGTTGAAACAAATAAAAAACAGATATAACACATGTATGATTCAAGTTAGATTGTTATTTAAGCTTTTTTCCGTTTTCCACTTTTGCTTTTCATTAAAATTCTAGGAATGAAATAAACATATGGAATCTTTTCTCATCAACTGAAGAATAATTTGTTTTGTTTCGATGCTTTTGCATATTCATCTTTCAACTTTTTTTCTTTTTCGTCTATGTCGGATTTAACGTTGTGGGGATCGCTGTGGTTGAGACGAAGTTCAACATGTATACATCCACATTCATCACTCACACCCTCATAATATCGTGAAGGATATTGTTTGAAATAAAACAAAAAAACTTTGCTTTGATGTTATTTTCATTTTTTGTTCCTCTCTGAATAAATAGACACTACACCATCACATAGTGCTGCATATTTACTCTTATCATAGAATCATCATACCATTTCGGTTAAGAATTTGATATTGTATCTTTCAAATAAACAACAACAATCAAAATTGTATGGTTTATCTTTGACGAAATATATTCAAAATACCCAATCTTGTCATCATTTTGCTTTCGTCAATATAGAATTTGGGTTTGGTGAGTGGTCATTTGAATGAAATCTTCTAGAAAATGATTTTTCTCGTGAAGAAAGTGAAAAGATTGTTTTTCTAGTTTTTGTCTTCATTTAAATATTATATCTTCAAATAAGATAATAACGATTATGTCAGAACAAATGAGTCTCTTAATATTTTCCTAATATTCCGTTCAATATTCTTTAGTCGAGAAATTATTTATCAAAAACCATTTAAAAAAACAGCTGACTGTGAGCAATATTTCAAAAGAATTTTTTATATCGAATTTTTTCAAACATTTATTTGAGTGGGAAATCTTTCAACATAACTTTTTCACCATTGATGATAGCAGTAAAGTCATCTCAAAATGAATTATTCAGTAGATTTAGTTATTAACCGTTCAGTTATCCGTCCTTGTTGTCAATAGAAGAAGAAAATGGCAGTTAAATAATTTTTTTCATGATTAAGTGATCAATACAAATGTTCATATAATTCTAGTGAAATATTCAATTCGAAGTGAAAGATCATTCTGAAAAAAAAAGATCTACTGTAGAATATTTTTCCATTTCCATTAATAGATAGAAATAAGATCTTCAAAAATGATTGAATGTTTCATTAGAATAATTCCATATTTAGTGATTAATTCTCGAGATAAACATTGCTTGGATATTAGATACAAGTCCATCTAGTGTTACATAAAATTGTCAATTATTTGAACAAAAAAAGATTTATATTTCAAAGACTTTTATGACATATCATTGTTTTATCTAACACTAGTCCATTGCTAATTTTAATGGAAACAGTATTGATAAGATACCTTTGCCCATAGAATAATAATTCAAAAAGAAGTCCATTGTGTCTTGCATAAAACTCTATAAGCAAAGAAGAGCAGCAATTTTTCTATCTATTCTCGACACAACTTATAAACTAGACATCATGCATCTATTTGCATCAAGTTTTCGAACAGTTATATTAACATGTTCAAGTTGTGACAAATTTTTAATAAATCGATTAGTAAATTCAAGATCTTTTCACAACAATCCACTAGTCAAAGACATCTTAAATTGATAAATATTGATTGAACTGCATCCGCAGGTTAATAAGAATAACAACGAAGTTTTAAATAAAAGACATATTCATTACTCAATATTAATAATTCAACTCGAAGAGTGGTTTTTGAATAACACAATAGATTTAAGAAATAAATCTAATCATTATATGTTACTCCATCAAGTTTTATATTTGTATAATAATAATAAATAATACGATGAAGACGTTATTCAGACGTCGTAGTTGTGCAAAATGGATGAAGACAGGAGACGATGCCAAATCACGGTATTAAAATCTAATAAATAAAATTATTAATCAATATTGAAATTTGAATTTCTAGTGATTAGTTTTAAATTGATCAATTCAAATTTCAGAAAAAGTCATTTTAAATAATGGGACAAGAGATCTAATACTTATCAATATCGTCACACAAAACATCTTTCGATTCTTTGATCATTTTTATTTCAACTCTACTCTTTAATTATGTTGATGTAATAGTATTGGTATATTGGCCCATAATACGGTTCGCCAAAAAAATGTTTGATTGTTACATACAGAAAACAGTCTTGATACTATTCTATCATGAACAGAAACATTGAAGATGATTGGTCTAAACGAATCTATGTAAAGAAAATGTCATCAGTATAAACAATTAACTGGAAATAGATTGAGAATTTCTAATCGCCTTTCAATTACTCATGTAATGCAGTATTTCAATAAAATGTCCGAATAACAATTTTTTATTTTATTTCTTTTTTATCGTGCATTGTAACATGTGTCTAGAGGAGAAATTCTTACTGAAGAAAATATTTTTCACAAAATTAACAACTTTTTTTTTTTACCAAGTACGGTTTAGATTTTGCAAGACTTATTAGTGGTAGCATTGTTGTGTATTGAACTAAACTGATTTCAATAAGTTAAAATACGCATATGTATTAAGAGTTGGCAAGTGTTCGTAGTAATTGCGCTATAATCATATATTTAGCATGTGTTAAAATTTTGAATCTCGTAGCCTCCGAAAGAGTACCTTCGGCATATCCGATACCATTTACCTTAGAATCTTTATTCATAGTATTGGCACAGTGTTCCAGGCTGTTGAGCCAAGTAGTAACTGTCGCGTCAATAATTTGATTACCGGCAATATTTTTGGCATCAGCTTATTCCTGTAAGTAGTCTGCAGCTTTTGTACAATCCACAAAACTATTTCCATCTATACCTATATGATGATCAAAGTAACCATTTTCAACCATGCTTTGGATGTATTCATTCGTAGCGTTGGTCAATTCATAATTCTATTCAAGTTCAATTGTAGCAGAATGCCAAGTTTCACCATACAAGTGACCTTCTTGACGTTGTTGATTCGTTAACTCGAACGCTGTTTTTTCAGAATCATTGCTAACCTCTCGACGTTTGAAATCATGGAAAAAAACTATCACTATCTTTGCCTCAGTTGTTTTTTCTAATCGATCTTAGTTGTTCTTTAAAGCTGAGCCATTACCTATCTATCACTTCAGCCCTCCTTAATATTGCCGAGAACCTTGATCGTTTGCTAACCATGTATGAGTCAATTGTCTAATAGTCAAGCAAACAACAGCACAAAGCATCCACACATGCATTGTATAGACTTCCAAAAAGTGTGTGTGATTGTGGATGTGGGTAATATGTCGATGAGGATCTTCTCTTTCCAATGATAAAATCCATAAATAGTTAGCTGATTGAGTTCTCGACTTATTCGAATTTTTAATCGAGTACATTCAAGTCTCATGTGTGTATGAATTTCGATAAACGAGAAATTCATCATTCTAATGAATGTTATTATGAAAAACTTGATCAACAATCGTTTCGATATTAAAATAGCATTAAAGGAGTACAAGAACTGTTTTTGACATTGTCATGGTGATGTGCTGAGTTTTTCTCTCACATTAAACATATACGCAAGCATATGTTCTAACTATTTTAAGTTTCTTCTTTTTTCAATATGCCTCGTAGTGTATGATAGTGATTGTGTTATTCGAAATTATTCGACATCAAGAATTAACAAAATTGAAAGTACTGATTATATTTGTAATTCATCAAATACATCTCTATGTGAAATCCAGAAGGATAGAATTATCGAAAACTCTATGCCAGTGATGATTTGCAAAGTAGAAGACGATGAAACAGTAAGTAGCCGTTCATGCGCTACTATTAGTAAACTAACCGATACTATTCATGATGGAAATATTATGAGAATTGGGCAGTTACCACATGTTCTAAAAAATGACACTTGGACAGCTGCTGTATTCATCCTTTTGTTACTTATATATTTAGATATTGGTTTTATGAACTCAATAGATAAAATTATATTCTTCTATGTATGATATCAATTATTCATATTTTGTGAATAAAAGTAATCAAAAAGTCGTTCAGAGAGTGTCTTCAATAAATGTTTTCAAAAGAAAATAAAAATTTTTAAATCGAAAATGTCATCAAGAAATGTCAACAGTAGTTGTCAAAGTACGATTTCAATCATTGATTTACAAACAAGACAATAGTCATTACTTTTATTCATTGATGATTACTTTAAAAATGAGTCAAAGTTTGAAGTAAGCAAAACAAAGCAGCAATGCAACTTCGACTTGAACAGCGACAATCTATGCATCTGTCTGAAGAGTTTGAATAGTTTCTGACGATGATGTAGTCTTTCCATAAAATATTGTAAGAACAACTCTAAATATATACTGATGAAATATGAATATTTTTATTTTTTAGACTGAAATGTTTAATAATGATAGATCTTGTCTTTTTAGACTAAAATATCTGCGCAAACTATAAATATAAAGAATTATGAAAAAATGAAAAAGAAAAACTTAAAAATAATCATTTAATAAAATAATATTTTGATATTGATGAAATGAATTTTTTATGATTAGTTTTCATTCATCACTTGACATGAAGGATCGATATACATTCCTATTATCGTCATAGTAACTGTTTGATTTCTTTTGAAGATATTTTAAGGCGCACATGATTAATTCAATGCACATAAAAACTGAGTGATACAGGGATTTTTCAGCCACGACGCTACCTTACGTTCTCTTCCTACCAATATATATATTTCATCACCACAAAAATCTCATTGGTTTGTTAATATGAGGATGAATAAAATAAAAAAACAAATGAATATTTACTGAATTACAAATTTCGTGGGTCATTACTCAAGTATTTTTATATTTATAAATTTTGCGTGTTACCACCATTTATCGACATGTTTTCATTTTCAAATTGGCTATCAAAAATCCCAATGACACAAAAATTATTTAACAGGAGTCAGCAAAATAAAAAGTCTCTGACACTAATCGAATTACTAGATGAAACTCAACCATTTCAAGAATTTAGCCGTCTTCAAGATGTTGAATTATTAGAATTGAATAATAAAAGTGCACTTCTTTCAAGGATACAAGGCTCTCTCGTTGGTCTTGCTGTTGGTGATGCTCTCGGAGCATCGGTTGAATTTCGTCCACATTCCTATATGCTAGAAAATCCAATTTCAGATATGCAAGATGGCGGTACATGGGGTTTGAAAGCTGGTCAATGGACTGATGATACATCAATGGCACTTTGTCTAGCGGCTAGTCTTATTAGTAAAGGAGGCTTTGATAGTTATGATCAATTATTACGATACAAATGGTGGTATAGAAAAGGATATATGTCTTCAACAGGTACATGTTTTGATATTGGAGCTTCAACACGTCAAGCAATTGAAGAATTTGAAAAACGTCAACATCAAAGTGCTCAAATATTAAAAACAAAATTATATAAAAATATAACAGAAGATTCTTTGGACAGAATGATTGGAGAATACATTTCTCAAGTTAATTTTAAAGCAGATTGCGGTGCAAAAAATGCTGCTGGCAATGGAGCACTTATGCGTTTAGCACCAGTACCTTTATTTTATTATCGAACAAAATCGGATGCTATTCAGAACGCTGCTAATAGTGTGATACTTACACATGGTGATAAGAAAGCAATTGATGCTTGTCGATTTTATTCTGCACTTATTTGGCATGCTATAAATGGTGTAGCTAAAAATGATCTTTTAGATTCTAGCTTCTATCGTAAACATTTTAAGACAAATTTTGATCAAGATCTTATGAAAATTATTAATGGTTCATATAAAGATAGAAAAAATGGTTATCAAGATGGTATTCGTGGTAAAGGTTTCATATTAAATTCACTTGAAGCTGCCTTATGGGCATTTTATAATGATGAGAATTCTTTTGAAAAAGGTGTTCTTTTGGCTGTCAATTTAGGTGATGATACTGATACAACAGCTGCTATCTATGGACAACTTGCTGGTGCTGTCTATGGTATCGAAAACATTCCACAGCGTTGGCGTGATAAATTATTTCAAATAGATTTTCTTATTACATTAGCTACTGGATTATTTATTAAAGGAAATACTCCCTATCGACAAAAAAGAAAATCAAATGTTATAGAGGTAGAGGATATGGATGAAGATAGTTGTTCGGATAGAAAAAGAAGTGCATCGATATTTGACAAAAGAACACCTAAAATCATTTCTGAAGATAAATAACAATCATTTCTGTTGTATATACTAATCATGACAATAGTTAGATTGATTCCAAACGATATAAAATGCTAATGTACGTTTTTTTTATCTTTAATAATTAACAATACAAACAAAATCAAATCGAATGAGATTTATAAAACAGATAAGCTTATCGAATAGAAACAAAGGTTAATTTTTGAATGTGATTATGAATGATTTAATGTTTTTTTTTAAATGAATAAAATATCTATTAATAAATAAAAATTTAAGCTGTTGGATCTTTTCGCATAAGTTCAATATCAGCTGCAACCATTTCTTTAACTAATTCCTATGATAAAGATTTTAAAATAAATAAATAATATATCAATATTCATACTTTAAATGTAATTTTAGGTTTCCATTTAAGTTTTTCTTCAGCTTTTTTTGGATTACCAATTAAAAGATCCTTTACAACAAAAACAAAAAATAAAAATCAGAAATGCAATTTTTCTTCTTATTTAAAAGTAATTTTCATTTGAACTTACAACTTCAGTTGGTCGAAAATATTTTGGATTAACAATAATACGAATAATGCCAGTATTTTCTTCTTTACCAATTTCATTAACACCTTCACCTTCCCATCTATTATTAAATTTCAGATTTTTTTTTTAAATTTTGTTTATCAATTTAATTAATTTCTTACATAATTCGTTTTCCTACTTCTTCAAATGCTGCTTCAACAAATTCTCGAACACTATGTGTTTCACCTGAAAAAGAAAATTCTTTCTCATCAGATCTTTATCAAAAGATTTTTACCAGTTGCGATAACAAAATCTTCAGGTGTATCATGTTGCAACATAAGCCACATAGCTTCAATATAATCTCGTGCATGGCCCCAATCACGTTTAGAATCTAATGAACCAAGTTCAAGTAATTCTTGTTGTTTAAGATGAATTTTTGCAACGGATCGAGTAATTTTTCTCGTTACAAAATTATCACCTAGAAAGTAAATTAGTCAAAAAAAAAATGTTTTTTTCTTTTCTCTTTATTTATACCTCTTCGTGGTGATTCATGATTAAAAAGAATTCCATTGACAGCAAACATATTGTAAGCTTCACGATAGTTAATTGTTATCCAATACGCATATAATTTTGCAGCAGCTATAATATAAAAATAACTCATCGTTTTTCTTTTCGAATAATAACGATAAAAACATGAACAAACCATATGGTGATCGTGGATAGAATGGTGTTGTTTCACTTTGTGGAACTTCTTGAACTTTACCATAAAGTTCCGATGTTGATGCTTGATAAAATCGTACTTCCTTCTCAAGACCACATATTCGAATAGCATCCAAAATACGTAATGTACCAATACCATCAACATCAGCTGTATATTCACTTAAATCAAAAGAAATCTAAATTAAAAAAAAAAGATAGTCGATTATTTCAAAATTTATTTAACGAAATCTTTACTTTAACATGACTCATTGCACCTAAATTATATACTTCTACTGGTTTAACACTAGAAATTATTTTTACTAATGATGAACTATCATTTAAATCACCATAATGTAATTTCATAGCTATATGAAATATTTAATATATAAAAGATTAAAAAAGTGAATATTTACCTCCTTCTTTGTGTAATGATGGATTTTCATAGAGATGATTTATTCGACCTGTATTAAAACTACTTGAACGTCGAATAACACCATGAACTTCATAGCCTTTAGCAAGAAGAAATTCTGTAAGATAACTTCCATCCTAAACAAATTAAAATAAAATGATTTGAATACAACAAAAAAAGAATTTTCGTTTCATAATAATCACTTGTCCAGTAATGCCTGTAATTAAAGCAACTTTACGTCTACTTGGAATATTTGAAGCTGTTGGAGAATTTTCTGAAATCATATCTATAATAAATGAGTAAAATTATCAGGCAAATCAAAAAGAAAAAAGCAGATCATATTGTGCCACGAACAGAACATACCTCATCAGTCAAGAATACAATAGAAGTATTTCTTCTGATACAATAAATATATCTTAAATGGCAAAATGATGTCTGCTGCTGGCTAATGATCTAATGTCTTCTAATTTACTGCCATATGTCATTTGTCAAATAAAAAAATATAAATAAATAAACGATCCATTGCACAAAAAAAAAATTCTTCTTTAGAATGAATCATACATTGATGTGAGTTATCATCGTATTGAAGCGCCGTAGATATTTAGTGTAGTAAGATTTTATGCTTTGTTCTGATTGGCAACAAAATTATCTAATCCAATGGATGTACACCTTTCTTTTTAGAAAAGAAAAACGAGCATAACTTCGAATAGGGAAGGCGTAAATGTCTATGTTTCATGCATGTTTTTTTTTTTTACATTTTTTTGTCTTTAGTTTTTCTAAATATTATAAAAAGAATGAAAAGTTTATTTTATTTGAAAATATTGAAGAAATTTTATAATTTTAGAAAATGACTTCTACTAATTCAAATGGTATGGGTCGACCACCATCAGTAAAAGAAGATGGTCTAGCTCAACTAAGTATGTAAAATAATGATTGATAAAGACTAAATTAAATTTATCTTTCTTTTTTTTCTGTATCTAAGGTCGATCACCAGAAAATGCTAGAAGAATTAAAAATGTACAAGACAAATTTGTGAATAGTCAAGTTCGAATTTTATCGTATTGAAATTTTCTCTTTATTTTCTTGTCGAAAATTTATCTTTAGAACTTACAAAAAGAAGGTCGAGCATTAGTTGGCGAAGGCATTTTAATGAAAGTATGTCGGAAAAAGCCTAAACAACGAGCTTTCTTTTTATTCAATGATATACTTGTCTATGGACAAGTTGTTATCAGTGGACGCAAGGTAAGAAAAAAAGGAAGAACAAGATTTATTAGATAAATTTTTTTTTCTCTATTATTATTATTTAGTATTCACAACAAAAAATAATTCCACTCAATGAAATACAAATTAGTGCACCAATTGATTCTGCAGGTAAATGATATATAATATTGATATTAAATATTTATATTTTTATATAAGAAAATCCATATGCATGGTTAATTAGTAGTCCAAAAAAATCTTTTATCGTTCGAGCAAATTCAGATCGTGAACGACAAGAATGGCTTGCACATCTTGATCGTTGTATTCGTTATGCATGTGGTATTGATAATTTATCTTTTTTAAAATAATTATTTCTATTCAATTATTAAGGTGGAAACAATACGCATCATAGTGCTGTTGCTGCACATTGGGTACCTGATGATAAAGCTGATACATGCATGCATTGTCGTACATCGAAATTTTCTGCTTATAATCGTAGACATGTAAGTAATAGATTTGAATTCTTGACAAAAACTAAGGAAAATCACACTAGAAAATATTTCGATATTAAATTAGATATAAAAAATAGTTACAAAACTTCAATAGGAAGTTGAAAAAAAAAAATTTTAAATCTAACATCTATTTTTTCGATTAGCTAATCTAGTTATATCTCAATGTCTCCTATTATTTAGTTGTAGTTTCTTCATTAAAATTAAACTGAGAAGGAAAGATCTTTAAGTATGAGCCGCTGTTTTCAATCGGCTTTATGTCAGTTTGTAGAGGTCAATGAATTGATCATGAGATCATAATATGTTCTTGCTCATAGAATGTCTTTGAAAAGTTAGGTCAATCTCAAATTCAGAAATTAAAAATCAACATTAATAGAGGTACTAACTGCTTCTCTACTTTAATATAGTTTACTTAAAGCAGAAAAATTAAATAAATAATACTGCAAGATTTCGAATCGCCGAACTTTCAAAGGTCTTTTCTCTAATTTTATTCAACACGACACAGTATGTTTCAGAGTATAACCAAGTATGTTTTTTCTCATGATATACAGAGTGAAGTTTGTTTTAATCAAGGATTTTTGACATAGACATTGCTTTATTAAAACTTAGTTGAAAATATGTCAAACTTTTCTTACTTTATGCAATGTATCCAACTAAAGAACCTTATTCAAATTTAGACATTTTGTTCTGATGCATCATTCATTTATCTTAAAATTGATCTGCTTAACATTTTGCAGCAAAAATTGTAATACATTCATGTAGAAAACTGTATCGCAAATCTTTTTGAAAAAGAAGTATTAAGACATGGCAATAAACGTTGACTGGAATATTTATTCTGATGTACACGTTATTTATGTGCATTGTATGGATGTGCACAATTAATGAAGATGTATCCACTGGTTAAGTTTATCAATACTGAGAACTAAAGTAACATAAAAATTCAAATTTCCAAAATAATATTTTACGATTATTTTTCTGAAGTTAAGATCGATCTAACTCCTTGAAAACAATCTATAGGACAGAGCTCATTGCTCTCTACAAACTGGTATAAAATCGATTGAAAATGAAGATTCACAATTAAGGATTTCTTCTCGACAGATTTATTAACTTAATCTTTGCTAAAACTATCAACATATCAGATGAATAAAACTTTCGTTGACTCATATTTATTTGATATAAAAATTTCAAATTCATGTCTATTTATCAAATAGCATTGTATGACAAAGAAATGTGGTTGAAAAAAAAAACATATTTTTATATTCGCATATCGAAATTTATTTTGACTCAAAAGACATTCTGAATATTTGTAGCAGAGGTGGGTCGAGACCGCCAAGCTTAGACGGTGACGATGACTCAGGAATCCGATTAGAATATTTTTGATAAAATTGACTGAATTTTGTGGGGGTGAGCGAAAGAATAAAATGTTGAAGAAAAACGAAAGTTTGTCAAGATGAGAGGAGGAGCACAGTGTGCATCTAGGCGGACACTTGATTAAAAATGAAAATCATAATGTCAATGGGAAAACTAAACTGTGAGAAAGACAAATCAAGTACAGTTTTTGAATCTTCAAGTCGAGCTCTATACAATAGTAAAAAAATATTTTTTTCTAGTCTTGTCGGAAGGACTAGTTCCGTAAAATGAGCGATACATCGGCATCCAACCTTCAAACTTTTTGAATTTTGTCAGAATGTTCTCCTATCTACTGTCTCTAATCCTTGTGAGCACAAGCATTCCTCGACTACAAAGTGAGTTTCCAAAAGGCCTAGGTTTTTCAGCTTTTTTCGCTTTGAAAAAATATTTAATCGACAAAAACAGTATACTCTGAATCAGCACATTAAACGAGGTTGAATGATATATAACACAAAATAATTTCCTCGGAAAATGAGGACAAAGGTTCTTCTCAGTCATTTTTCGTTGAAAAATTTTTTCTTAAAAATGCTTTTCTGTGTCAACTCTAATTATGTCTGAGCAAAAAGAACCACATATCCATCAGTCATGCAAAAAATGCACACTGGGAAGGATCACTCCACTTTGGGCAACACTGCTTTGCAGACGTAGAAAGTCGTATTTACCATTGAAACTATGAGCGTTGTGAAGAACACTTTTGTTATTAAAAGCAAAAAAACTGTATCTCGGAATATATTAGTCGTCATTGCAAAAAACTTAAATTTTGTTATATTTTCTTTTCAAATAGCATTGTCGAAATTGTGGTTTTATTGTTTGTGATGGATGTTCAAAAAGACGTTTTTTACTTCCACATTTGGATTCAAAACCAGTTCGTATATGTGATGCATGTTATACGAAATTAAATAATCATAATATAAATGGTAAAAGAATAAACATTATTTATTATTAATCTATTCGTATTCTATTGTATTATTTTCTTTCAAGATTCTCGTTCAAATCAACGTGATCGAACGGCTGATAGTAGCGATAGTGATGGTGATGAAGGTACTTCACAATATTCTCCAGTTCCTGTATGTATATTATTAATAATTTATTAAAAATTTATTTAAGTTTTTATTTTTGAAGGCTACTTTCTATGAAAATGTTGAAAATTTCTAACAGATTTATTACAATTATGTCCATTAACATTGCAATATAATTAGATGATCATATTTAAATACATTCCGAAAGACTATTCTATTTGCTGATTAATTAGTTTATCATTCTTTTCTTCTTATCGTTTTAATTTCGAATGCAACATCACTTTACTATCAATGAACAAAAATAATTAAATAATAAAAACGAGAAAAATTAATTTCTTTATTATATTCGTTTCAAATATTAGAGAATGTACTATATATATATGTGATCTTTCTATTTTATAAAATGAATTTTTTTTCTTCTTTGTCTTATTCATATAATAAAACGCTTTTTGTTTCTTTTTCTTGTTTTTTTTTTGTGCGCCAAGATTTGTTAATATAACAACAGAAATTCATTTGTATAATTTTCATTTTCAACGTTACACATCATTTCCTTTCTTATGTCTGTTAAAAATATCTTATCCATTGGAAATCATGAACATTATTATTTTAATACACCGAATGAATTTTCCGATGTTAAAATTTCATTTAAAAATGAAAAAGGTAAGATGTAAAAGAACAAAAAAAAATATTTTAATAGTAATTTGTCGAAATGAAATGTCTATAGATATAATTTTATATGCAAATAAAGCTATTTTATCAGAAGCATCACCTATTATCAAAGCTTTTTTGGCTATTGAACCTGATGGTACATTTATCATTGATGAAGATGATGAACAATTAATAATAACATCAATAGATGTTATTGATCTTTTAAAATTTATCTATCCACAATTTACAATTAAAATAACTGAACAGAATAGTAAGTTCTGTTACAATATTTTAATGAATTGATTTATAACATAATATATGATTATGTTAGTCACAGGACTTATTCATTTATCAGAAAAATATTTAATTGAAACACTTCGAAATGAATGTAAAAAATATGTTCATACATGGTTACATGATATGGAATTAACAACATTCGATGAAAAAAAAGAATTTGTACCAAGACATATTCTTTATAAAGATGGTACACGAAAACATATTGCATCAGAAATAGGTAACATTTAAATATAGAAAGAAAACGGCGGCAAAAAGATTAAGCGCGTATTGTCATTAATTGAAAGATAAAATTCATACATAGGCAAATACGAAGAGAAAACAGCAGAGTTCAAGACTTCACTGAACTTCAAAATACAGTAAAGCCTTTCCTGATGTGAGAAAAATCGAGAGTGGTCAAAAGAATTTCATTTACAGAGGAGATCATCGTTGGAAGATTTTTTATTCAACTGATAAGTATTCACTTGCAATCGCTTTTCGATTGCATAAGATGATTTTTTTGTTCTTTTCACTAATTCATTACTTCGAATAATCATATATATTTTTCTGAAATAACAATTCTTTTATGACACAAAACTAAGCCGCTGTTGTTGCTAATGTCTAATAATGCTTTTTTTTTCTTCTAAATACACACGATTAGCCCATCGCCTTCGTATGTATGTATCGTGATTATTCATCATAATGGAGAATACACGTAACAGCATTTTTTTTTCTTCTGCGCATAAATGATAGAACATATGTTGCACGCATTATAGAGACTCATTGACAGCAAAATTTACTTGGTATAAGAATGTCTTCACATAGAAAGGTTTAGCTGTATATTAGAAGCTATAACTCAAAGACTTCAAGATCGAAATTTCCGCTGATTTTTCCTGGGATAAACAGAAAATGTCTAACAGTCAAAGTTGTAAAAGATCCGGTTTGATTGATGTTCACCGGCTTTACTGATGGAAAAAATTATTCTTTCATAAAATATGTTGAAAGCAAGTTTAAGTGCTCTCAACAAAATAATCAAACAGCCTATGTTACTTGCGTCGGATATAAACGACAATAATGTGACGTTTTGTCTTTGGAAGATTTATGTAAGTTTGCGCGAAAATAAGTATTTTTTAAAATCATTTCCATTCATCAATTCAAAATGAAATAACAGATCAACAGATTTGTATAGGTCTGAAAATATTTGTGGAATCGACTCGAAGTAATACTTCACGTTTGAAGTGTTACTGCAGGCATTACGTAGAGCCTGTTGAGACTAAAGGAAACCTAGAAGGATTCTTTCCCATTGCGCTGCACTTTTGAAATCATGGTCATTAAACTGAATTTCTTACCGTTTGTCACGATATTTATTAATAAAAAACGTAACAAATCAATTTTGCTCTAACACTTAGTTCATAGATATAGCTCTTAAAGTTATAAGAACCTCCTAAAAATTTTAGCTGACAATAGTGGTCACTTTTCGAGATAATAAATTCACAAAAAAAACAATAATATTCCACCGAAAGGACAGAGAATCTAGTTTTTTTCTTGTGAATTTAGTGTCTTGAGAAGAAACTATTTTTTCTTCTGCTAACATTTTAAAGAGATTCTAATGATTTCAAGACCTGTCTATAAACAATGTTTTAGGCCAAAATTGATTTGTTCGTTTTTTTTTATATAAATACTGTCCCAAAGGTAACAAACAGTGTAACAGCCATAATTCTAACAAAGCAGGGTATAGGAAAGAATTCTTCTAGAATTTTTCTCGTCTGAACCGGTCCTACGTATTAACTGGGGTTTCATCTCAAACGTGAGATATCACCTCGGATGGTTCCCTCGTAACAATATATGATATCAATAGATTTGAATTGCTTTGAAATTGAGGTGTACGAAACCATAATTTAGAAGTTGGCTACAGTCAAAATTAAAGATTATAGTAGCACATTCATGGCTTTAAGCAAAGTGTCTTATAAATCATACCAATGAGAGCATAATTACTCAAAAAGGTATTTAGTCGTCAAGTGACTAAATCAAAAAACAACAAATGAAGGATGCTGTTAAATTTGCTATGAGTAAATTCTGGAATAGGTTTTTCGTTAACATAAAAATATATTAAGGTTTGCTATCATAAGATTTTTGTTTATTGCTATTGTATGATGCAATGAAAGACTTGATCAGCAAACAAATATACAATGATTCATTTTAGGTACATTATGTTCTTGGTATCATGAATATTCATCTCGTGATGAAAATCTTTCGTCATTAATTCTTAATATATTAAAACACGCACCAACTGATGATCTTGAACGAAATGAAATGTTTTTACGTTTGACCGATCGTGAAAAAACGAATATATATAAAATAATTAGTGAATATTTAGAACAACAAACAATCATTGACAAAAATCATGTCGATTCATCGGGAGTTATTCATCATAAACAATCTGCTTCTTTAATGTTTGCATCCGGTGACGGTTAATTGTCGAATTCAAAATCGTTTTTTTTTTCTTTTCTTTTTTTTTGTTGTTATTTGATGAAAGAAAAAATCGCTGGGGTCATCTAGAGTTCAACAAAAAAAAAACATAATAAAAATTCTAGTAGCATTACTACAGGAAATTGAATTTTTTTGTTCCTGCTTTTGATGATGGTCAAATATGGCATTGAGCCAACATCTTATCGACTGTCTGAGTAATCATTCGTCTAGGAGGAAAAAAACGACTAGCGTCGAGGACGATATAACATTGACCAACAACAATACAGACATAGAACAACACGTCCTATGGCCATTGTCGAGAAAGAAAAAAAGGAAAAAAGAAAGAGAAAAAATGCGTGTTCACTCTCTTGTGTACAAAGACGTTCGTACAACTCAACTCTTTGCATATATTAAACTTTCATTTTAACTCAAGTAAGAAATATGATTTATTAAAACAAAAAACAAAAAAAAAAATAATTTTATCTTCATTTATTAGAATGATAAATATTGAATGATAGATCCAATGGAAAATAACGAACTTATTCATGAACCATTTGATTATGATCATTTTTTTAGTGAACATACGGATGATTATCATACAATGTCTTGTATTGAATCAATCAATTCAACAAATGAAAATCTTTTAAATTTAAATAATAATAATAATAATAATATTGATACCCCAACTAAAAATCGTATAACAGGTATTTTTCTATATCACAGTTTGATATAGATATAAGCTCTATAGACGAGAAATTCAGCTTATTTACATGCACATACGAAGATAAGGCTAGATATCCTGTCTCTAATGATGATCATCATACGATTGATCTTAGTCATGCACAGACTATAATCAATAATACAATATCCAATAAAAGCACCGATGATATCTTGTCTAACAGAAACGAGAAAACAATGCAAGGAAATGATCATTAATCACCATATTAATATTTGATTACACATGTTCTTTTTTATCAATAAATGAGAATTTTCGATCACCATTCGATATTTGAATAGTCAACCAAATATTTCGCAAAAAGAAGTTAAATATTCATCTACTTCGGTTTCATATTGATAGAGAATATATATTCGGCATAATGCAAACTGAGAGAATAGACTCTAAGAATGCTTGCTTAATAGAAGATAATGCTATTCGAATAGATCTTAGTTTATGAATATTTACAATAGTGACAGATACAAGAATCATTTTTTATTTTTAAATAAAATTTACCATAGACTATATGATTATATTTGGTTATAAACATGATTTATATCTATTCATGTAAAATTCTCCTTTAGGCAATATTTTAATGGGTACAGCTGTAGATGAATATTTCAGCTCCGAGGTGAATATAATCAATGGTCAAGTAATTAAAACTGAACCAACAACACAATATTTCAATGGTAGTGCAAATCAATATAATAGCAATCAACAACCATTTAATATTGATCATATTGTTTATAATACTACAAGTAAAATTTTTTCTCTTTCTGACTTTTTTTAAATGAATTTTTTAATTTTAGATGTTTCAAATCAACCAATATATAACATTCAACAAGTAAATATTCAAGCAATAAATAAACCAGTTTCATCACCACCTCCGCCAAGAATTTATAAACCATGTGTTGTTTGTGGAGATAAAAGTTCAGGTTATCATTATGGTGTTTCAAGTTGTGAAGGTAATTAAACAATTTTTTTCTTCTTAATCAGAGAATATTCATTTTTGTTATATCGTTTAGGCTGCAAAGTACGAATTTCTTTGTCGTTGGTTTTCTTTTTATCATAAATTTAATTACATATTCATTTTTTTCAATAGGGCTTTTTTCGACGTAGTGTACAAAAAAATATGGCATATCAATGTCATAAAGATCAAAATTGTGAAATAAATAAAATGACAAGAAATCGATGTCAATATTGTGTAATAAAAAAAAATAAAAAGATCGAAATTATTTTTTTTTATTCATTTATTTATTTTATATTTCATTTAGCGTTTTCAAAAATGTTTTTCTGTTGGTATGAGTAAAGAAGAATTACGTATATTGAATCATACAAAAAAATTATTGAACCAAAATAATATAAAATCAACAACAACTAATCGTCAAAAAAAACGTTTAACTATTCAATCAATTCCATCGAAAGAATATTTACCTGTATTAGAATCAAAATTATTACCTATTGATAATGATGAGAATTTAATAAATATTTGTGTTAATTTACATAAATCAACATTTAATTTTAAATCTTCACAAGATATTAATGTAAAAATTAAGAAAATATTTCAAAGAAAAAATAAAAAAAAAACATTTTTTCTATTTTTCCTTTAGGAAAAATTAGATGTTCGTTGGCAACGAGCAGATGAATTTAGTCAAAAAGGTATTATGCAATGTATACAATTTTGTATGCAAATACCAGGAAATAATGAATTATCAATTCAAGAACGTGCACATTTACTTAAATTAGGTGTACATGCTATTGCTTTACTTCGTTTAGCTTATCGTTATGAACCTGAAGATGATAAATTATATTTATCAAATGGTTTATCTGTTGATGAAAATACGCTTATGACGCAAGGTTTTGGTTGTTATGGACATACATTTTTACAATTTTGCCGAATATTTAATCGATTAGAATTAACCATTGAAGAATTTGTTCTTCTTTGTGGTATTGTCTTTTTTAGTCATGGTAAAATATTAATTAAATAATATGAAATTATTTAGTTAGTTTGACGTCTTTGTTTTTTTTTTGTTTTCTTCTTCTTCATAGATCGAATTGAAGGTCAAACAACTAGAAATAAAGTTGAACAAATTCAAATACGTTATTGTGAACTTGAAAAATTATATATTGCAAAAAATCGTACTAATGATCAAATGCAATTTTCGAAATTACTTCTTCTCCTATCGAAATTAAGAGCATTGGATGCTTTAAGTAAGTTAGAGAGCAATTAAAAGTTTGTTTCTTATAGCTGCAAGTTTTCTTCATTTCGAGAAATGTTGAAATAAAACGAGAGAAAATGATAGTAGACAACTTATTAACAAGAACATCTCCGAAAAGTGATTTTGTATGTCGGAAATTTTCAAAAATCAAATATCCTTTTTTGTTTCGCGGCGATGTGAAACCTGCAACAGCGGCGACGGCGCAACCGGATCACTTCAGCGTTAGCGTTGGCGACTCAGCCGATCGACTTACACTTCTACTAGAGATAAATCGATATTATGCAATCGAATAATTATTTATTTGTAATCGCCGAAAGGACTTATAAATTGCAATAATATGTCAAACAAATAACTATGAGTAGATTCGAACGAATTCAGAATCACAGAAATTTGAATGTTAAAAAAATAAAAATATCTGTACGAATCAACATTAGATGATTACTAGGAAAATAGATGAATTGAATATGAGTGCAAACTTTTTGAAGAATAGATTGTATTATTATTACTTTAGCTGCAAGTTTTTATTTGATTCTCAGATGCTAAGAATGAGAATAAAGTTTGAAGTATTAGTTTATTTTTCATTTAGTGGCCGAACGTCTTCTTTGTTTACAAATGAATACTGATGGACAAGTACAAAAATGTATTTTTGAAGTGCTTCATCGTGAAGCAACAAATGTCGTTGTTGTAAGTTATTTCTTTACCATTGAAATTTTTATATACATATATATGTATGTTTTTTAAGGATATGGAAATTAATTTTCTTGATGCTATCGATACAAAACCTGATTATAGTTGGCTAAATTATACATCAAATGGACAAAATCCGGTTTCGCGGCCATCACATTAATGTTCGATAGCTTGCCGGTGTTGTGCCATTATGTTTTAATTCTACTTAATTGTTTTTCTTTGTCAGATGATATCTGTCATGCGCACTTGTCAAATATATTTCTGTATATATGCTTATTTCTCCGAAACGGTGACATGCATTTCTTTTTTTTTTGTTTTGTTTTTAATATCTAATTATTGTATTCAGTATTATGTTGTTCATCATGAATTTTCGTTATTCTATTATATTATTCATTGTTGTCCGTCCAGTATTGGATTTTTTTTACAACGCAATTTTTTTTTTCGTCTTTTCTTTTATCGTTTTTTGGTTAATGTCATTTTCTTTTTGCTATGTATAAATGATAGCAACAATGCAAATGTAGATTGTGTGTGTGAGTGTGTGTGCAAAAAAAAAGTGTAACAAGTTTTTTTTTAAATGTGTTAAATAAAAAAAAATGTTTGTGTTAAACTGTAGCTTCGACGGTTGTTTTAGTAGCATTTAAAGGTATTTGATCACAAAGATCACGTAAAGCTTTCTTTGAACCAGGTGTAGTTCCAAGATAAGAATGATAGACACGTACCATATTTTCACGATTTACTTTAGGATTACCGGCAGCATTATCTAATTGCATTCGATAGAAATCATCTTGTGTTCGTTTATAATCTTTTTCTTTTTGATTATCAGCTTTAAGATTAGTATGAGTTCGTAGAAATGATCTTTTAAATATATTAAACGAAGTCATTTTGTCAATATAAATGCAAAGTTTTGACTAACCTTATACTCGAAACATCGTTCATTGTCAGCGGTCGTTGATATTCAGCTGGTTTTTGCATACTAACACAAGGATATTCTGGTAAATGAGTTGAACCTTGTGTTCGATCAATTGAATCATCTGCTGTGATAATTCTGTAATTAATATCCGAAACAAAAAAATAAAAAACTAATATTATTCCTATAAATTATTTTCTGTTATATGGTGAAATTCATGAAATTTTTTTATTTATTACAAGCAATAACATCAATGCACAAACAGTGATAATTAAGAGAAAAAAATGACCGGGTGTATTTATTTTAAAAAGATTCAAGTAGCAATTGTAGTTGTTTGAATTTGTTCATTACTATGTCTTGATGCAGATCGACGTTTAGATGATAATGATGATCGTGAATGATCACTTTTAGCTGGATTAACATATGTTATTTGACCACCAAACGGAAGTGAAAGTGGTGGAAGAATCATCATGCCATTTTGAGTGGGCAATCTAATATGTGCAGTTAAGGAAAAACAATGAATTGAGTTGAGTAGTAAAAAGCATTAGACAAGAAAAAAGAACATGAAGAATAACAAATAACTTACGATCGTTTAGCACTCTGACCACGATTTCGTCGTTGTTTTAATAATTCATAATTAACTCCATAATCCATTCCATATGCTTCCCATGGTTCGACAATACGAAGTGCTGTTAAACGTGTGTAATAACCAGGTTGAGTTTCTAAAGGCTAAAAGAAAAGAAATCAATGTAATTTTCTTTTGAGAAAAACAAAAAATTTTACTTCATGGATCGCTTTTTCAACACCACTAGTGTCAAAATATGGTCTTAAATCATTATAAACAAATGGTTCATGAGCTTTACTATAAGTAAATAAAAAGAAAGAAATATATATTATTGATGATTTAAATGAAAACAAAAAAAAAACTGAACTGTAGTGGTCGACGCATTTTTAAGAAGTTATCCATAACGGACATCCAGGTAATGAGGAACGAGATCAGCTCATCAAAATTGGACAGAGAGAACAAGAAGTCAAACAATTCTAGGCGTCTAGGCACTTACTAGGAGTATTTCTTTTTGTTTTACACACAACTAGGCATGCAGCGAACTCGAACTCCAGTTCGAAGTTTAAACCGAACGGTTCAAATTTGGCAGCTACTCAATGAGTACAAATATTGTCTCGTTTTTAGGTAGTTGTTTGAACAGCTCTTGAAGTATGTAGACGATAATGAAAGCACTCTCAGGTTCAGTTAAGTTTGGGTTTGGATATTTTCGAACATCATTGACTTTGTTTTTCGAAAGCTTGCCGTCTTTGAGTTTTTCAGTCATTTACTTCATTGTTTGTAGACTTACTGTAGCCAATCGTGAAAGTCTTCATATTGGTTTACTTCTACTCCCTAGTTTTATTATTTAACTGAGAATGACCATATTCAAGGTCGAATCCAAACCTGAATGTTCGATTAGGGTGCATGTGTACAGACAGTTTTCTGCGAAATTTTGAAGCTTTGCTTATTTTCAAGAGCATTTTTAAATAGGAAATGAACTAAATAAATCATATTAAATATGAATATTGTCTTGAAATAAATCAAGATAACACTATACGAGCAGATAGTTATTTTGTGGAGCAGTTATATGAGATTTTCGAGTGTCAGTGGTATTGAACTTCAGTTTTTTGCTTTGCTTCTTTATACAGGATGTTCCAAGAGTTTGGTCGTTAAAGAAACGTGAGTATCTCCCTCGGAGCTAAGATAATTCGAAATGCGTGTGTGAATGTGGAATTTGAGTAACGCTGTAACTACGGATCTTTTGTGTAGCCTCATCGATATCGTAACAAACGTGATACATCCACACAGACGCGACAGATTGTTCGATTACCATCTCTCTGATTGTTCAAACAATTCGCAGCTGTCAGAACAATTCCTGCGACATTAAAATGTGAAGCATGAGGTAGCTTCTGTTGCTAATCACCACGAGATTGTTTTAATCCGTATATCTTAGAACACATTTCTTCACTGTTCTTTACTTACTTCTCTAGAAATATAGCAAAAAAGTAGTTAGTACATTGTAGCGAGCCGCTAGTGATATACGGTTTGCGATCGCATATTAAGAACGTCTGTCACAGTCTGTGTGGGGAGATGGAAGTTTAAATTTCTACCCTGTGTATTTTTCAGCACTCCATTTAGATCGTCTTTCACAAAAAGAAAAACTATACGATAAATTATATTTTTGTTGCTTGTTTTATAAAATGTATATTTCATGTTTTTATATTTATTTATTGCTTTAATGAACTGTTATTTAATAAAACAAAGTAGTAGTAAATGGAAAAAGCTTGCTTTTTCTGGAAGCTTTCTCTTATATATTGGATGTCTAGGAGGAGGATGAGGGGTGGTGAGAGGGGAATGAAATTAAACACATGGGGCAGAAAAGGGATTAAAAATTTTACTTTTTTCTAAATATCCTTTACGGATGACGTCTACTGATTCATTATGAAGATTTTCTCTTAAACGACGTAATTCAGTTTGTACATAATCTTCTTTTCTTTGATCAACAGGATAAAGATTAACTTTATTTTCATCATAATCAAGACGTATATTAGCGTTAAAACTAAATAAAACAATTCAATTAAATAAAATTTTAATTCTTTTTTTTTTTTTGTTTCTTTTTCATACNTCGATCAATCGAATAAAACTAAGTGAAAAAACAAGAAAGAGAAGAAATTGTTCGATTCAAAATTGAAATTGAACTTCTTAATTGATCAGATGAGATTTATTCATCTGAATGTCATTCAAATAGTAGATAGGTCACTATCAATTGAAGAGCAATCATTTTCCAAGCTTCATTGAATTGTTTGAAAGAGAAAAGATTGTCTTCGACTTTGTCAAATTGTCGCATGAATCATCATCGAGAAGAGGAACAGTGGAAGATATTTGTCGAAATGATCAATTCGTTTCCTTTGCTTTATGACAATAATTTAGATTGACTGTGAACAGGTGTCTCATATGGCTCTTCAATCAGATGATCATCGTGTAAAACTGATCCATCTCATCTTCGACCTTTTCTTTTCTCTCGGAAAATTTGATATGAGCATCTCAGATAAATGATCAGTTCGAAAGAAAAAAAATCAATATCGATGTTCAATCGGAATGAAATCTCTCTTGTTCTTGTTCGATTCGAAGAGAGAGTTTCATTTTGAAAACAATTCTTTAACCATCGATTGATAACGGATGAGCAGAAATGTCAAATCCATTGTGGATATATTGAAATATTTTTTCATTGAAATCGTTCATTGATTGATGAATTGATCTGTTGACAGATTCATTTGAGAAGATCTTGTGAGAAAGATCGATTTGATCTCTTCAATTGAATATCTGTATGGAGAGAATCGTCGGAATGGATTGGATGTATTTCCAGACTACTTCGTCAAGAGAACTCTTCTCACTTACCAAATATTAGATAGGTCATTGTTCTTTCAATCGCTGTTGATCTATTCAGAACAAAAAGACGAAGAAGGATTCGATTCGAAGATAGTCAAATGCGTAACGAAATTTCTTTCGAATCGTTTCTCTTCTTCAGTCAAAGTTGATCTTTGTTAATTTTCCAAGGAAAGACTCGTGATCGTTGAATGAAATACAAAGCGTTTGTTTGTTAAGTGTCTCATGTCAGAAAAAGAGAAAATCGCCATTGAACGGTAAAATAAGATCAATTGAATGAAGTTACATTGAATCAGTCAAAAATCATCTTGTTCGAAATAATGTGGAATTGAGAGTTCAATCAAATCTATTTCATTGTGACAGATTCTCACTCGAAACTCATTGGATTCGCTCTATTCCATGATCATGTCTCCGTCGAATATGGATAGCCAAGAGAGGGAGAGTGGAAAACTCCGTTCAACACCTTTCTCTCACGTTCAATTCAATATCAAATAATGAATGAGGCTCTTTTTCATGAGATCGATCGTCGTGATTGACTAATCGAGCAAATCGAAGACAAAAATCAACGAATGACGATAAGATCAATTTCAAAAAGCGAAATCAAGCGCAGAGGAGTCAGTCGATAAGGAATACTCAACTATTTATCGAAGATTTCTCATTGTGAACAACAGTTGACATAAATGCCGAGGAAGAAAGATTTTGAAAAGAGAATATCTCTTCAAAATGAGTTACAATCGTCAAGAGCGAAGAAAACTGAATGGAACAAGTGACGAGTGAACAAGGACTGAAGTTCTGCTAGAGCATTATCTCTTTACTCTGATTATAGGAACGAAGATGGACGAGAGTGTGGGCATCTGTATAAGCTTTGTTTTTTTCTCAAATTACATCCACACCCACACCCTTTATCAACATTTAACTATAGAAAAATACAGAAACAATTAACAGTGTAGTTTCAGTTGTCATTACACAGAATATTTAGTTCCATCGAAAGTATCAAACGTTATATTTGTGAGAAATAATGTAAATCTACATGAATGAATAAATGAATTTCTTTCTACTAATTTAATTGTTAGATTTGTGAAAAATATTTACTCTTGTACATATTTGTATTTCGTTACAGACGACTGAGTGTTTCAAAAAAAATTAGTGTTTCAAAGTGTATGTTAATAACTTTTTTGCTGAGTAAGCCTTGGCTACATTAAACAAATATCTGCATGAGCTAAAAATTATACAAGTCAAGATTTTTACCTGTGTCGATTCATCTATTTTTAATTACAATTGGTTCAACTCAATTCATAACATATTGTTAGCTCTAATAGCTAGTTGTTCTTACGACAGAAATTTGCTCAAAGATTTGTACAGATGCAACGAAGAATGGTAATGCTCCTAATATGAACTGTTAAATAAGAATCAATACGAGAGGAAAAGGGTGGGTGTGGGTGTGGGTGTGGGTGTGGGTGTGGGTGTGGGTGAGGTGTGGGTGTGGGTGGGTTGGGTGTGGGTGTAGGGTGTCGATGTGAGTTTTGGTACCAATATGTTCCTTATTCACCCACACACCCCACACCCACACCCACACTCACACCCACACCCACACCCCACACCCCACACATAAATTCGAAATCTTTTCGTCATCACAATTCAAGCAAAAGTTCGAACATACTTATGCAGATCCATATTGATCATTAAGAGCCATCAATTATTGATGTAACCAATGCTCTGGATTGAAACGAGTACTGCATATGTGTGTAGGAAACTAAATGTGTCGATTATTATTATTATTTTCAAGCACAATGTAATTCTCGTTGATCTTACTAATAGTATCAATAAGAATAATAATGAACAGGACATCTTCATAAAATTGCCGAAGAATTTCCTCAGAGCTTTCGTACAAATCTATCATAAATATGATGAGATATTTACCGCTTAGTATAAATAGACGATTATGATAATTATCCGCGTCAGTTGTATTTGAAAAAAAAAGCAGATTGTCCTAGTTATTTAAAGAGACAATATCTGCTTGTCTCATTTGTTCCTGAATAGAAAGATGCAGAATAGGCCATTGTGAATAAATAGGAGGAATGACATCGTAGAAGAGATTTGCAAGATGTGAGAACACAACAAAAATGAAGAGAACAACCAGAACATGAGACATATATAAGGAGTATAGGAACGTGATGCATCGAAAACTCGAACATAGTCAATAAAATGGTATTCATACTTGGGGCAGTACAAAAGTAGTGAGAGTGGCACTGTAATTCCTTATCAAAAGCTTTAAGAAACTTTCTTTCTATATAGCCTGATAGAGAAAAGAATGTTCTATTTTTCTATGCTATTTGATCATACTTCAACTAATATCATAATCATAAAATTTCGATAAGGTCTGTTTTGTTCTCATGAACGACGGTAACATTAACGCTCATTTTAAGAAAAGGCGCATGAGTAGTTTTTGAATTAGTTTTGATAGAAACAAGGTAGAGAACTGCGGTTTTCACTGTTGGAAAGAGGAGATGCAAATGCATCGAATCCTATAATACAGTGTTTCCTGATCTGTTTTTTTTATAAGCTTTTCAATTTACCTTTTTAAGAACAAACCTATCTGGTAAATTGTTTACAGTGAATATTCAATTATCAAGTATAGATTCAAACCAGTAATCGAAGATCTACAAACCGCAGAAGGCTGAGATGAATGATATATATTGTAGTCAAGCTTCTAATACGATTTTCTAGCGATTTCTATGAAGAAAACTCACTTTTGTACTTTTTTCTTTTTTCATTAAAAAACATTTTCGCTAGTTAGAAAATTCAATAAAAATACTTCAGACATCAATGTTAGAAAAACTTATAACACACGATCCGACGCATCTTCATCTCCTCTTTGTAATGGTGAAAACCGCAGTTCTCTATCTTGTTCCTATCAAACACTTTCAAAAAATACTCACTAGCATTCGTGTTACCGTGACACTTGCGAACAAAACAGATCTTATTGAAATTTTATTATTATGGTATTAGTCGAAGTATGATCAAATAGCATAGAAAAATAGAGCATTCTTTTCTCTATCAGACTATATAGAAAGAAAGGTTCTTAAAGCTTTTTATAAGGAATTACAGTGCCACTCTCACTACTTTTGGACAACTCTAAGTAGTTAAATTACATTTTTTCTGTTATCAAGTTCTTTTTTTTTGTATCAGCTAAATAAAGTATTTTACTTTTTCTTAATAAAAAGTAATGTTAAACGATTTCGAAAAATATTGAACATTGTCTTATTCAATTTATATTAGTATTCTTACAAGAGAAGGTGTCATTTGAAAGGTCAGCAAGAGTATTCAAACTGCCTATAAATATAGAGTATGGATGTGAGTGTGAGTCTCTTCTTCTTACCCACATGCTCTATTTTCGACGGTTCACAATCTGAATTAGAACTAGACATGTACGGGAGCAAGTATTTTGTGTCTCGATTCCGATGATTTTAGTTTTTCTTTTGTCTGTCTCGGTTTAGAGAGAGCTGTTGCAAAATGTTTGGCGTTACATCTAAAATAATGCTTCAATATTCGTTTGCTTGATTTCTTTAATTGACGAAAGAGATATGTTGGATCAAAATTTTTTTGCTCCGGATACAGTGCACTCCTGGCAGCTTCGTTTGAGCGGTCTCGATCGTAGTTTCAATCAGTTTAGTATGTTTCTGATCGAGATGAGTGGGACCAAGCTTTTTCTGATTCCACACATTTCTAATTAGGACACCTAGCTAATATCTTTTAAAAAATGACCAATACAAATTATATTGTATCTTTGTGTAAAAACATCATGCCACTATATCACTGTGATCACGAATCCGATAAGAATAAAAACTGCATCATCCAATGACACATATTATATGCTATATCATTCAATAAATGCCATCATGACAATCACAGGATTTGATACCTACAGGCCTTACTTGATACTATACAAATATTTTGATCTGATCAGTGTAAAAAAAAAGGTCGTAACTAATAGTTTTAAGAGAATGTCATGGTAAATACTTTCAAAATATTAAGATCATTTACATACGTATATGCATATATATATAAAGCATTCATAGCATGAAAGTCTTCGATAGCAATAGATTTATTTCGGTAAAAACAAATGATGCATCTATACACTCTTTCTTGCATCATTCTATCGTTATTGATAACTAAAAAAAGTAATGGAATTTCAAGTCCTCTTCAACCATATACAAGCTATCGATATTCAACTGAACTTCAACGCAATGTAGCTGATCTTTGGTGGACAGTAAATGAAACTCGGCAAGAAATTACTTTTGAACTACATATTAAAACAACAGGATGGATTGCTTTGGGTATTAGTCCAGGTATATTATTTGTTAAAATAAGTTCTTCTTTATCTTAAACTTTTGACGTTTATCACATATAGCCGGTGGAATGAAAGGTGCTGATATTGGACTTGGATGGATTGATCAAGGAGGACAAGTTCATTTTCAAGTACATACAAAATTTTGATATGTTTTCTCTATACATAATTATGATATATATTTGTCTACTCATAGGATCGACATGCGAATGGTTTCTCGCGACCAGTCATTGATAACACAACAACAGATTGGTTCGCACTACAAGGCCGTGAACAAAATGGTTGGACAGCTATTCAATTCAAACGCTCTCTTGATACTTGTGATAAAATGGATGTTTCAATTAAAGTTGGTTATTTATATATTTGACAGAAATTTTTATAATATTTAATATATATTTAGTCTGGTACTAATACTCTTATTTTTGCGTATGGTCTTGAAGATCCCGATATATCTCAACCAGATGGCTTAATTTATTATCATGATAGTCGAAGAGGTTCACGCATTGTTCCTCTTCGATCTTATGGTAATCCACCATCAGAAGAAAAGTTTGCTGATCTTGATTATTTTGAATTCAAATTGAACAATGTTAGTTAGTCTATTAACGATTACATTATCTTTTGGGGTTTATTGTTAAATTTTCTTTCAGTACGTTGTACCAGCCATTGAAACTACTTATTATTGCAAAGTTTACAAAGCACCAACCAATTTTCGACAACGAAGACATGCAATTGCTGTATGTGTTTCGCCTCCCCCCATTTTTTTTAAAGAGAATTCATGAGAATGGCTCACAAGAAAAATTCGAGACTTTCAAGGAAGATATACTGCAATGACTAAAACGAAAGCTATGCTAGGCTCAAAATTATTGGATGTTTCTCTTTACGAAACATTGGAGTTACCAATGGCGAAAAGTCATCATGTGTCCGATCGAGTTGAAATTGCCTTACAGATACTATGCATTGTCTTAGGTGCCTATGTTTTTGGTTCCTTTTTAACTCCCTTCATTCGAATACAAATGATCAAAAACTACGGTGTTTTACTAGAGCTTTTTTTAAAAATCTGATAAAAATCAAGGATGCAATATTGTTCAAAATCAAAAACTAGTAGGTACTCAAGACGGTATATAGAGTACCTTTAAAAAAAAGATGCAGCTCGATCGAACGCATTATGTTGAAGAATTGAGAGGAGAAAGGGTGACGATTCTACTTTTTTTTCTGTAAAAATTGATTTCAAGAAAAGCAGACAAAGGAGTTTTTCTGTATATATCAGAATTTTTTTCTTCAACTAAAGTAATCGAAAACTGACTTTGTTGAGTGATGTGAAGGGTCTATGACCTATGCTCTATGCATCTCTGAAATGAGAAATAATCATTATCATTAAAAGAATTTTGTATCTCATAGAATAATCGTAACGTAGTTTTTCTGTTAAAAGTTTTAGATGTAGGAGCTACCAACTAAGAGGCGTTTGACAGACGATACTTCGAGGCTGTATTATCGATGAAAATCGAAAATTCAGAAAAGTTTTGATTTAGACGACTAAAAGAAGAAGAGTGTCCTTCAGGACATTTTCCAATGACTTTCTATAACCATTTTCTCCTTTTTAGCGTAACATAATGGTTGATTCAAATAATCGAGATATTGTTCATCATGTAGTGTTGTTCGAATGTAATCCTACAGCTGTATTCGATGATAACAATTTACCAGAGGGTATATGTGATGAAATTACTAGAAGTATTTCTTCGTGCACTGTGAATATCGCCACTGTATGGGCTGTTGGTGGTGATGAAGTAAATTTTTGCCAATTAAATATCTACTTGCAGAAAAATCTCATCTTGATAGATAATGGAATATCCAGAGATTGGCGGATATCCAGTAGGTGGCGATTTTGAAATAAAATATTACATGCTTCAAATGCATTACGATAATCCAAAGCTAACATCTAGTGTGGAATATTATCAAATTTAGATTACGACATATCGTCATATTTTATTTGATTTAGATCGTCATGATAATTCAGGCGTTAGATTTTATCTTGGAAAAGAACTTCGTCAATATGAACTTGGTTATCTTATTCTTGGTGCAGATGTAAGTCATTCCGCTATTGCTATTCCACCAGAAACTGATCGATTTATACTCGATTCTTATTGTCCAGCTGAAGCTACACAAGTAAGGAGAAGCTTCGTTTCTAAATAGAAAGTAAACTCATCTATATTATAGAATTTTCCTGAACCAGCTATAACAGTTCTTGCTGCCTTTCCGCACACCCATTTACAAGGTAGAGTCAAAACTCTTATTGACACAACAAATTATTTTCATAAAAAGGTCTAAGCATATGGACAAAGTTAATTCGAAATAAAAAAGTGGTTAAATATTTATTTAATGCTGAATCATATAATTTCAATTATCAATTTGAAAATCTTTTACCGAAACCAATTGAATTGTATCCAGTATAATGTTTTTTTTATTCTATTTTCTTTTTTCTTGTATTATTTATTACATTTGTTATAGGGTGATGAATTTGCTACTCGATGTGTTTATAGTACAACAAATAAAACTGATATAACTTTAGTAAAATAGTCGATTGAAAATATGTTTCTTTTATAAATATAAATATAAATGTTTAGGGTGGTGAAAGAACAAAAGATGAAATGTGTCTACATTACTTTCTTTATTATCCTCGTATGAAAAATTATCACGGTTGTCTATCACTCAATTCTAAAGAAGCATGGAAAAAAGTAATGAATAGTTCTGAGTAAGTCTAGAAGGTTTTATCCCTTCAATCTAATTGTTTTTTTTTCAAATATTCTTATCTAAAGGTCAACATTTGACTATGGAAAACTTGGAGAATGGTTAAAGCGACTGAAATGGACACCGGAATCAGTACTTCAATGGCAGAAATTTTATAATGATGCTCCACGTTCTGTTGTGGCTGGTTTAGGAGACAATTTTAAATGGATAAATCTAACTAAAATACCAGAATATGAAGACTTAAAACCAGTAGAATGTAAAACAGATACTTCAAATTTTGGTATTCATCAAGACTAGTTTATTCTTTTCGTATTTATGTCATTTTTTCCAACAATAATATGAAACTTTCTTAACTTGTTTACTATACGTATATACAATTATTTTCTATTATCAAATAATGTGTATTGATTCGGTATTTGAGTATGTTCAAACAAAGAATTATGTCTCATTCAACATTAGTTTAATACTTTTTGAACCTTTTACTTCACGTATCAAAAGTATTATAAGCAACACTAACGAGAAAAAGTTCTCAGTTGATCCATGACGTTTTCGCTGATATTTTGCATTCATGTGGGAGACCTTATTTTAAGCAAATGCCTAAAAGCGTTGAGTACCTGTGAAAACTGCGATCATCTTTGAACATCGCGAAAAGCTACAAAATCACATAGCGTACAAAACAAATCATATATGCCTAACTATTCTGTCCGCAGAGATGGACGGGTGTAAAAGAATAGAAGACCCAACTCACCTACACACTGTCAACAATAACACATCTACAAGTAACATACGAATCAATCAAGGGTGTGGGTGCGGGTGTGGGTGTGGGTGTGGGTGTGGGTGTGAGTGTGGGTGGGGGGGTGAGTGCGAATGTGGAGGTGAGCGACGAACCTCGGGTGCC